GTTGTGTGGTTGTTGGAGTAAGTAACAATATGAAATTCTCAAACCTGAAGAAGGAGGAGAAAGGAAAGAAGAAAGGAAAGAGGAAGAAATGGTTCTTAAAAAATACTCATGCCTAAAATTTAAAAGCAAAGAAAGTTTACCCTTTTCATGGAAGATAGAAACACTGGAAGGGAGATGTGCTTGAGGATCTATGAAATGCGGCAGTTTAGAATATCTGCTCTGTGTGCAGTCTGCCTCAGTTCAAAGCTTAGAGGTTATGTTAGTCAACTTTTTGTTGCTATGACAAAATACCTGAGAAAATCAACTTAAAAGAGGAAACATTTATATTGGCTCATGCTTTCAGAGATTGTAGTCCATGGTCACTTGGCCCCCATCACTTTAGGCCTGTGGCGAGGCAGAACATCATAATGTGGAGGACATGGTAGAGCAGAGCTGTTCACCTCATGGTGGCCAGGAAGGAGAGAGTGAGGGCAGGATTTGAAGACAAGATAGACTTTCTTCTACTAAGCCTCATCTGCTACACTTACTGCTGCCTCCCAATAGTCTGTGAAATCATGAACTCATCAATGGATTATTCTGCTGATGAGATTAGCCCTCATGATCAAAAGTCACCCACCTCTGGACTTGGCTGCACTGGGGACCAAGCCCTCAATACATGAGCCTTCAGTGAGCATTCCAGATCCAAATTGTAACAGTCTATGCTTCTCCAGAACCTCAGTTTTTCTTATCTATGAAGCAGGCGTAGCGAAGACTCTAAGATTGAGTACAGGCACAGTCCCAGCACAGAGACTGGGTGAGGGAAGCACTCACAGTGGTATCAGCTGTGATTCTTCCACTGACACACAGCCTGTAACCACTGCTTAAAGTACCCTGTCCTTCATAGCAGCCACAAAATATGGGGAAAAGAAAAATAGTCACAAAACAGACTTCAGCAAGCTCTGCAAGTGACCATTAGAAAATCTGCAAATACAAATGTCTGTTCTTCAGTGAAGGTACAATGGAGAGAGATAAACCAGTTTTGAAACCAGAAATATAGGCTTCAACTTCAGTTCCTTTAGCTGATGTAAACTTCAGACAAATGGTGTTATACCTTCACTCCTCAGTTTTCTAATCTGCTAAATGGGAAAAAGTTGTCCCATAGTACAGCTTTGAGGATCAAAATGGAATAAAAGCATGTGTGTGATATGACATCAGGCCCAGAGCTGGCACCCTTTGGGTTAATTAAAATGGTGACCTAGGGGCTAGAGTGACAGATCAGGATCCAAATGAATGGGTTACTTCTTCCTTCCATTATTTTTCTAGTGTTACTATTATTAATTTTGCCTTTACTCTTTGTCATAACATGGAAGCTATGATTTCTTGTTAGATTTGTTTTTTTCAAGCATGATATTTATTAAAAAGTTGGAAAGAATGTCAAAAGGCCAATACTGAATGCACATAAAATTTTCTACCAACATGAAAACAGAGTTAACCAAAAACAGCATTATTAATCCAAACCCTCAGGAACCTTGAAAAACCCCTTAAAGTGGACCTAATATACCTGGGGCAGATCATTTTTAATACCTCTTTCCCAATAGGACAAAATTATTTTCACTTATAATCCTGCTCTTTAAATAATGATTATTTTAAGTGTTTTTTCTTTACTTTTAGATCAACTGTGCCAAAACCAAATTTCTATTTCAAAGATAGTATTCAAAATGTAATAAAAGATTTATCTCATTTATAAATTAATATTTGCAATCTCCAAGCAAACATGTTACAATCTGAAGTTACTCTTTAAATAAAAATTAAATGGTCACATGGGATGACAGGATTGAAATAACTCAGGTTTTGATGTTTTGTCTTTATATTCTCTACAATATCATTATTACTCCAAATCAATGATTTAAATACAAAATTGCACAATATCCAAGGAGTTGGAGGCACACATTGTGCCCAAGCAGAACTTGAGCAATTCCAGACCATTGATGACTTACTATCAAATCATGTGCAGTGAAGTCCCTGTGCCTTGGAGGTGTAAGATGTAAAAGGGAGTTCTCCAAATCAACTTTCACATAGAATAAAAATCTGTATTAAAGAATAAGAAACAAAAGGATGTTAACTTGAGGATGACATAAATATATTAAGTCTCAACAATAATGTTAATAATTCTTTAGAATATAAACCAACAAAACAACTTTTGAGTACAAGTATTTTATCACTGACATTATTTAGAATTGCCCCACTCATGGTGCTAATAAAAGAAAACCAATTTTTAGTTGGTTTTATTGTTTTTAAATTCTCTACACACATTGTCTATACCTGAGACAGTCTGTTCCCATTCATCTATATCCTAGCCTCTGGACCCACCCACCCATACATCAATCCAGCTGCTATAGTTCTCAGCTTCCAACCTTAGCACATTTAAAGTAGATCCATGTTAGTCAAAAAACAAAAAACAAAAAAACCTTTTTGCCAGGGTTTTTCTTTTGTCTTGTTTTTTTTTTTCAGGATATTTTCGCCGGGATTGATTTATATGTTGTCTAAGATGCTTTTGTTGCAATATGGCATGAACAAGAGGAAGTCACCACAGGAAAGCTGGCTGGTTGGCTGACAGTGAAGAGCCTCACTTGGGGTGGTATGAGGTAAATAAGTTTATCATGGTTCAAGTTTGTCTTGAAGCCTTATAGATCTAGAAACTGGGCTTTCCACAAGTTCCAGAGGAAGTCAATTGCTCTAGGTTTAAAAACAATGTGTTCTTCTGCAGTGGGAAAGAGCATTCATGTGACTAGATAGCTAATTCCCTTGTCTGACTTTTCCCTGTGGTGGATATTCCCTGCCTCTGTGTGAGAAGCCACCTGAATGGCTTCCCCCAAGATAGTGTCAGAGTGTATACTTTCCCAATCCTCTTAAAGCTAAGGTGAAGCCATGTAATCTAGATTTTTCCAATAAGACACATTCACATGAAGTTTTGACTCAGCACATGCAGAATCTGATGATTTTTAAGATAATGGCCTTTAAAGGGGTTTTTTTAAGGCAGCAGATTGATAAGTAATACAGGCATCTGACGAGGGGTGATATCTACCATGTATTATCCCACAAACATTCCATTATGAGATGTGCTCCAAACTGCAAAACACCCATACATAACCCACTGGACCACAATCCTATAATAAACATCATTTCTGTTTACTTTAGCTAGATGGGTTTTGTTATTTTCAGTATTACAGGAATCCAGACTAGTAAAGAAGGTTTGTGTAGAACGTACAATGTGGACAGATGGACTATTTTGTGTAAGCCAAGATAAGAACTGTTTATGAGTGTATCTTCCTATGGTTCCACCAATCTCTAGAGAAGTATGCTAGCCCAGGCAGTGATGTTCAAGCAGTGCAGAATTTGCTTCTCTTAACCTCACTTTTTATGCTATAATAAATATGTTCTTTATTGCATTATATTAATATACCACCTAAATGACAAGTCAAGGAGTTATACCCATGGGCTGACACCTCCCATTTAATTTTATTTAAGTAATCTAATTTATTTATACTTAGTTCAGCAAACTTATTTCTAGACACATGGGCACCGACTCTTCCAATTTCATTTTATTTTATTAGTCCAATTTGTTTATGAATTAATTCACCTATTTCTAGTTATTTGTGGGCTTCTTGTATATCAACTATAGTTGAGTTTTTGGAGTCTTTTCTATTTTTCAAGATTTCTAAAGATAAGGTGGTGTAGATTGAACTAAGAAGCTTTCTTACTCTACCAATTTTACTAAAAGTTGTTCAATATTATAGAATTAATCTATTTGAACACTTTACGGGCTGCCATTTGTTATAAATTAGTTAATCAAATCACAAATCAAATGTAAGACTACAACACTGGGTAAAAACGACTTCCAAAAATGTTGTGATGTACACCTAAATACAAACTGACAACTTGTGCTGGGAAAACTCATACCTGGTTGTCAGCTCCTACAACTCTTGGGTAATTTTTAGGCAACCCTAACAAAGGCAGAGGAATGAACAAGTGACCCCTTGAATGCCTCGCTTCCAATGTTCTAGAATTCTACATAAACAAAGTCTTATAGGACCTCTAGCTGCCTGGATATATTTGAATTACTTTTCCATTTTATGAAAAATTATTGCCCAGCAAGGTAACAGTTGGTAATTCCAAATAATTTCTTTTTTAAGTAGTTCATTATAATTACACAAAACAGTGGAATTCATTATGCTGTATTCATATATAAATGTAACATAATTTGTTCAATATTCTTCCCCAGGATCTTCCCTTCCTCTTCCCTCTTCCCCCATACCCTCACTCTACTCTACTACTAGAGTTTCTCCTTTCTATTATTAGAATCATTACTTTAATTAGTGCATTATAACTATATACAAAAGCAGGATTCATTGTGATATGTGTGTACATAGTCATAGCATAATTTGGTAGATTTTGCTCCTCAGTACTTCCCTATTCCCTCCCCTCCTCCCTCCCTCTAATCCCTTTCCTCTACTCTTTTTATCCCCCTCCTATTTTCATTAGATCCCCTTTTTGTTCCTCTTTTTAACTTTAGTACCCACATATGAGAGAAAATATTAAACCCTTGACTTTCTGAATCTGGCTTATTTAATTTACCCTGATGTTCTCCAGTTCCTTCCATTTACCAGAAAATGTTATAATTTCATTCTTCTTTATGGCTGATAAAGCAATTTAACCATTGTGTATATGTACCACATTTTCTTCGTCCATTTGTCTGTTGACAGGCACCTACACTGTTTCCATAACTTGGCTATTGTAAATTGTACTGCTATAAACATTGGTGCACTTATATCACATATTATGCTGGTTTTTTTGGATAAATACCAAGGAATGTGATACCTGGGTCATATGTAGTTTCCATTCCTAGTCTTTTCCAGAAATCTTCATACTTATTTCCAAAGTAATTGTACTAACTGCAGTCCCATCAACAATGTATGAGTGTCCCTTTTTCCCCACATCCTTGCCAGCAATTGCTCTTTTTTGTATTCTTGATAATTGCCGTTTTAACTTTCTCATACAGCTCTCTGCCATATAGTTTTGTTTGTTGTATTGTCTAAACTGTTTTAGCTTCATGAGGTGAAAGAAAGCTTACCTAGAAAGATGATTTTAGGTAAGATGTTTACGGCACTCAGAAGATTTGTCAGCTGTCAAAAGTTTTTCCTGGACTTTCAAACTTCCTGTTATATTTTTGACAAGAATATGTTCACTGAAGCACTTAAATTATACTCTAGGGGTAAGCCAAAAGTTTTGAAGGGAATATTCTATACTAAGACAAGATGAATCTTTCTTTAAAAAAAAAGAAATATGATACATTTGGGGCTGGAAATGACTTTTTCTGTACTCACTCCCAAGAAAGAAGTTTGGAATGAAAATTAAGTGTTTACTCCGTTTTGGTCAACGTAATAGAATGTTTTTTAAAATGGAGTTTTCTGGCCACTAATTACTTTCTATCCTAAAAAAGGAGACATATTATCTTAAAAATGCACTCTTCCAATTGTAAACTAGCAGACTCACCAAGATTATAGAAAGACTGGCATCTGAGCTGATAACAATATCATGGAAGCACCTGGTGCTAAAATGTTCCCATAGCCATTATCTGGCCCAGTGATTCCCAAACTTCATATATGAACCCATTACTTTCAGAATTTGTGTCACTTTGTTACACTACCTGCACTAATACTTACTTTTTCTTGTATAATCTCTTTCTTTATACTTACATCAATTAGACTTTTCTTTAAGCATTGGTATCCATGAAGTCAGGTATTTGCAATATGATAAAAATAATTAGATGCTTACCAATTTTATTACATCTTAGTGACACAAGACCACTCTTTTTTGCATTAGGTAGGCACCACAGAGCTGTTTTATAGTCAGTGAACCTGAACAGAAGTGGTTCTTACACTCAACAGGCCTGACCCCAAAATCATCCTGCATGTTCTTCCTTGCTCTCGCTCTGCCATTTCTATTACTAGAAACAACAGACTCTGAGATGAAGAACCCTGTTCCCTACCTGCTCAGAGGAGGGTTGTCCAAAAAAGCATCCAGTCCTGCATTAGACTATACATGAACACCAATTTAACATTTATTGTGTTAAGCCAGTGAGCTTTTGTTGTTGTGTTTGGTTCCCAAGACCACCCTCTGGATCAAAGATTCACAAGAGGAACTCTTTGAAAAAGCTGCTATGATCATAGTTACTTTGTTTCAGTGAAAGGATAGAGATTTAAATCAAAAATGAAAAGCCTTAAAAGGCAGGGTTCAGGAAAGACCAGGCATAGTTTCTATTTGTCACCTTCCAGATGAGTCACGTGGGCAGCACAGTCATGTGCCACTAAAAGACAGATACATTCTGAGAAATGCATCATCAGACAATTTTGTTGTTGTGCAAACATACAGTGCACTTACACAAATTAAAATGGCGATGACATCTACTAGGTGATATAATCTTATGAGACCACCATTTCTTATGCAGTTAGTCACTGATCAAAACACCATTATGCAGCTCATGACCATATTTAATTCTCGAAGCATCTATGTGTCACAGCATGCATTAAATACTGTCAACCAGGGAAACTTGCCCAAGTCTTGGTGTCCTGGGTTTTTATTGCAGGTAACCACATAGGCTTGGCTGATCACCCATGTGGCTGATATTAATTTTATTCCCTCCAGGGGTCAGGCTGATCCTGTGTGACTCAAAACCATCAGCACAGATTATATTGATAGCATAAACTCTCTGATGTGGCCCAAGACATCATGCAAATAAACACATTCTTAACAGGTAATATGTTCCAAGGGCTTAGAGGTTATCTTGAGGATCCAGAACAGGGCAAGGCATTCTTTGGAATGCACAGGTTTTGGATCACACAGATCTTCTTAGTTAATCTTTACTGCATCATAGCATACTTGTTATACAGCATGACCTAATCTACCCTAACTAAAACAGAATGTATAATTACGCATTTTGATATAAAATAGAATAGAATGCATGAATTACAAAATTGCCTAATACACATGAAAATAAATACCTAAACAATGAAAGAAATGTTTCTTTATGAAATTCCTAAAATTCTCTCATGAACTACAGTAGTATATATTCCATACCTTGTGGAGCCTTGATCTGCTAATGTGGGAGAGTTTATGAGCCCAACTCCACTGCTGAGCTTTTCTAGAAGAAAGGACATTGAATCCAATGAGCATTAGTTGGAGACAACATTAGTTGGCAGCTGGGGCCTGAGGCAGCAGCTACACAGACAAATTCTTGAAGCATTTCTAGGCAAGCTGTCCAAGGTGGAATGGAATGCTTCCAGGACCATCCAGCCTTTCCCACCAACCCCTGTTCTTTGAATTTCCCAGATAATCTTGCGGCACTCTCCCTAAAAGAAGATTTGCCAGATTATCATATCTCTATCTTTGTCTCTTCCATGAGGATCACCTTCTTGCCTTCTTGCTTTCTGTTTCTTTACAGCATAGCAGGGTATGGGGGATGCCAGGGTATAGACCTAAGAGTCCTCAACCCTGAGTTCTCAACCACCAAATTTGCTGAGTTTCTCTTATAATTAAAATCCAAAAAAGAAAAATGAGATTACTCCACCTTGACCTGACCAGTTGTGACTACAGGATGGCAGGAAAGGTAGTCAAAAGGCACCAAAAACAGAGATAGAACACCTGGGGAAATGAGGATGGGTAGAAACGATCTGTTTATCTTGTACAACAGAGAACCATGGAATAATAGAACAAAGCCTGAAAACTCATACTCCAAGTAAACTGCAGATACCCCAGAATGGGAGTCTGGCCCTTCACTTAAAAATCTCATTTTGTCTGAACTAACCTTTTCTTCCAAGGGTCAATCCAATTACTCACAACAAATACCAATGGCTCTGTGATATCTCCATCAATCCTCAGGGGAGGGATCTGAAACAGGAGGGCAGAAAAGAGAAGCCGAGTTTCAGTTTCATGAGAGGTCCAAATGACTACTCTACAGATTGCAGTTTAGAATTACAGCTCAGTGGCCCTGGATAAGATTTGTCCATGAAGACCTCAGGGAGAGCCCTTGTCTTGTTTCTCTTGGTTGTTTGTAAAGGACTATTGTGATTCTGCTCCCAAATGGTCCTCATTTTTTAAATGCCAGCTGTTTATAAATCTGGCCAATGACACATAGCATCAGGTTTTTGTTTTGTTTTGTTTTACTCTAACTTGCTCCATTATAGAGTTCCCTGAGAAGGAAGACAAATGTATGCCAACTTAGTACTTGGAGTTAGTATGATACAGGCCCACAATTCCTTATCTAAAATTATGAAATCCAAAGCTCTGAAAATAAAAACACCATTATAAAATAGGTAAAAAAAAAAATCATTTGGCAACCAAAAAATAAGATATTCTCTCTTTTTTATTTATCTCATTTAGTTTGAATGTTGCTATGGTTCACTGCTAAAATATTAATGGTTTTGATTATAGGGCACTGCTCTGGGCCCACTGGGAGTATTAAGTTGTATTTGGAAAATGCATCAGATCCCCATACTGTGCTGAATTTTAAGACACATCTGGCTCAAAATCCTTTGGATAAAGAATTATAGATTTGCTCAAGCAAGATCTTTGGGTCAGACCAGTAGAACTAAATTTGAATCCCCTCTTACAGGTGGGAAATTATCACCTTCTCCCCATGTTTCCTCTGTGTAGAATAGAGCTAACAATAGTTGGCTTCTTCAAGGGAGGTAGAGAGAGTATTTGGGATTAAACAGTACAATTTGCATGAGGTATTTAAGATCACCCCTGGTACCTACTCCAGGCACAACAGGATATTTCCCTTTACCTCATAACTTTCCCTCCCTTTCCACTGAATCCAGGGACTGTACCATAACAATCAAAGCACACAAAGTATAGGGGGGAAATCGTCAATTCCAATAAAAGGAAAACACAAAACTGAAGACTGACAAGTTAATCTATCAGAAATGCCATCCTGGTTTCAATGAGTAAGGTGCTCAAATGGAGCTGTGAATGAAGACCAGCAATA